AAAAAAAAAAAAAAAAAAAAAAAAAAAAAAGAATATAAATTGGTCATGGGAATGAAAGTACAGCATAGAGAATACAGTCCGTAATTCTTTAACATTAACAATAAATAAATAAATAGATACCCTCCAAAAAAGGATCATTTCACCAGTAAAATACAGTAATCCTAAATCTGAGAGCATATAATCAGGTATTCTCAACATTTACAAAGCAGAAGTTGAAACAATCACAAGGAAAAATTGAAAAATCCGTAAAATCCGTAATTGCAAAGAATGAATTATCACTAGAACTTAGGAATTGAGAGACTAAGCAGATAAAACGACACTAAGGATGTAAAAACATAATTAACATTTCTTACTGGACATTTATAGAACTTTGCTCCCAACATTCAGAGAATTGCATTCTCTACAACACTAAATATGCATTAGCCCAGAAAGAAGTCTCAACGAAACCAAAGAATCAACATCATGCAGAACAAGAATAAGATGATTTTTTTTAAGTAACATTCACTGAACACAAAGGGAGATCTTATCATTAAAATAAGTCAGCAGAAGAAAAAAACTGAGTAGAATGTGTGGAAGATAAAACTGAAGAAATCCCCCAGGAAGCAGAACAAAAAGACAAAAAATGTAGAAAAGAGGAGAGTAAAGCTCAGAATATTAGAGCATCAGTCTAGTAGTTCAAAGATTCCCAAAACAGGAATCCAAAAAGAAAATAAATTTTAAAACAAATAGACCAAGTGAGACTGAAGGCTAATGACTCAAGAGACAGACACACCAAAGTCTGTCAAGGCCCGGAAGTCTGCTGGCGCCATGCTGTGATTCTAACCTCAGCGCAGAATGCAAGGGAGACTGACTGGTGCAGGTGCTTATCTGTGCTTCACTTGTCGGGACCGCAGGATGGAGAAGTTGCTGCTCTCATCTCTGTGCCCAGGTACCGACGTCTATTCCCCTGACTGTTTTCCTGCTGGATGTCCAGTGGCTGGCACACACTTGGATCTCATAGATGCCCTGACTCTGTGGAGCCCCATTTTCCTAGGACACATTCGTGACTTGGCCTCTCTGCCTTCCCCACAAGGGGCTCTGTCAAGGAACCAAACCCAGACTCTGACCCAAGACTATTCAGTTCACTTTCTCCTAGAAATATTGTTCTTTCATTACAGTGCTAGGTTTTAGCTTATTTATTGTTTTATGCATATAAGAAACAGAACTGCAAAGAAAAGCAGGACTCAGTTAACACAGAAGTCAGTATGATGGGTGCTCTGGGAAGGAGTAGGGGATGTGATGGAGCAGGAAACAGGGGCTCATATCATGACAGTAGTGTTCTACTTTGTTAAGAAATAATGGCGTGCACAAGGGTGTTTGCTTGACTGTTATTGTAGAACTTGTACATACAGGTTTTATATATTCTTATAATTAATTAAATATTTAAACCTTTTTTTTTAAAGTATGACTGGCAGAATTGATCCCAGTGATATATTTTAATAACAGAAAATCAAATGTTGCCACCACATGAGGATGATGAGGAAGTTGCTGTTTTTTAAACATCTTTCAAGAGAGCGCATTTGCTGACTTAATGGAGACCAAAGTCAGCATGCAGAGAGTTCAAAGTAAGTTAGTGGATGTGGTAGATCCTATTATTGCTCCAAATAGTCACTGCCCCTCTCTGTGTAAGGACATTATTTCCCACTCCATTGCTTCTGGCTTTGGCAGTTGCCTTCAAGTCTAAGTGGCATGCTTCACAGCTGAGTGGAATCTTAAAAGCATCCGTGGTGCTGCTGTCCCCGAGGCCAGCACACCCCAGACAGGAACCATTCCTCCAGTCTGGGTCCCGCAATTGCAGCTGACCAACAATAGATGGTAACGTGAACAGTAAACACACCTTTGCTGCTGTGAGCTGAGTTGCCTGGGATTGTTTGTTAGAGTAGCTCTAGTGAACTACTCTTCAGAGAAGTCTGAGGCTACAGCACATGAAGAAAGGATCTGGTTACTCCATGTAAGGCCTGGATATGCTAAGAGACAGAGAAGAATATGGGAGGGAGAATGAAAACTGAGATGAGAGAGGAGGATGATAGTGCTAGGTGCCCCAGGCGGTGGAAGAGGCTCAGACCAAGGACACAGGACAGAGAGTGGGGAGGAGGGATACAGCGTTGTGCCAAGAGCTGTAACCAAGGATGAGAACTGCTGAAAACAGAATTGCAAGACAAATTTGAGGGAACGTAAGGAAGATAGTCCCAGTCTTTTGAGAAGGTTATTGGTATGGGTAGCTGCTGGGAGTGAGAAATGGATGTGACGTAAATAACACCAAGTGAGGTTGGTTCTGAAGAGCCAGCATGGAGTCTCTAGGCATATCACCACTTCACTGGCTGATTCTCAGTCAGTAAAATGTTTGCCCTGCTATTCACTAACAATCACAAAAGTTACATCTAATTACTATTAGTTTTATGTTTACACAATAAAAATTAAAACATCTTTTGTCTTTGTACTAGCTTATACCTGAATGAAGTCTCACTGGTTTTAGAACTATACTATTTTTTTTTTTTTAGCCAGTATTTTGAAGAAATGAGTACAACAAACTACATGTTTTTGAAAAACAATGAAAGGAAAAATATTCGAAATATTATACAGTATTTCGACAAAAATCATTAAAAGAAGGCATTGGTAAGGTATTTTATGTGGCATGTTATCTTTTTTGATATATTTAAGTACCTGAACTTTCACAAATTAAATGTTAAAATACTTCTGACAAGATACAATTGAATGGGCAAAATAAAGGAAATAGTTTGGAAATGGGTATAGTACAAACTAAGTTTGACTACAAGATTAACTGAATTTTTTATCAACTGTGCTAAATTAACTACTGAACTGCACAACTCAAACACCTGACTTCTAATTCATTCAAGTTTACAATTACATGTATAAAATTATTATATTGATTCATGCAAAGCATTTTGCATTTGATTTCCCTAGATTTTTTTACTTCACATCTAGAAACTTAGTAGTGAAATGTAATCTGTGCTAAATTAATAAAAGAAAACTTGATTCTGTAATCACCCTGGTAAAGAGAGGTTCTAAGCCATTTGGAGCAGTGATTGGACGAAATCTTCTCCTTCTCCACGGTTCAGGTCTGTTTTCCCCTGCGCCTCTTCCACGGGGGGGAGGAGGTGGAGGAGGAATGGGCTTCAGGTGACTGGTAATGTTCAGAAGCTGATGCTGATTCATTCCCTGTGAATTGTCCATGAAGTTCCTGAACTTCCTCACAGCTTTCTTGCCCTGTAAATCACATGTCAGGACATAAGAACCAGTGAAACAGAAGTAGTGACCAAAGGAACCCCAAATTAAAGACAAGACTGTATGATTGACATTGTAAGTAAACACAGTTGGTGTCAATAGGAAAACTCAAAACACACCAGTCTGTTGAAAAATGGCATTTTGTAGCATCTCCAGCAAGTTAAATTTTCATAAATTTCTGACCTTATTTAAGTATATTTTAAAATAAAATATGATGGAATTTTTACAGTACTTTAGGATTTTTCCTTAATAATCCATTAAATAGCTGGGGATCCAGTACAATTAAACAATTTAAAATCAGGAAATTTGAAATGTTGCACTTTGAAGCATGGTTGGATAGTCTACTTAACAATGGGGTGTTAGTACTTTTTTCACATTGATTTCACCCATCCAGGTATTATAATTCTCTTTGATAACATAATATCAAGGAACCAAACACAGGCTCTGACCCTAAGACTCTATTCAGCTTTGTTTCTCCTAGAAATTCAACCTTTAGGAATAAATTATGCCAAGCTAACTATACAAGTACATGTGCACACATGTAAGTGTGTATAAAGATACACACACACACACACACACACACACATATAACAAATTTGGTTGAACCATCGGGTCCATCATTAGAAGAACATTTAACAAAGTTTGCTTTGTTTTTATAATAGATTCTTACCAGGCTCTAAAAAGAACAGTATGATTCTCTTCATCCTGACATAAAAGGGGTCATGCAGTGTGATCATACATTTCATCTAAATAATTTATACATGCAGTATGATGAAAACAGGGATAACTGGAAGACTTTAAACACAGGGATGCCTTTGGAGATCTGGATTATTGGGGGGATATCATTTTCCATTTTTGAAAATTTAATCAACATGTATTACCTTAGCTATTAAAAAGCACCAAAGATATAATCAATAATTATTATATTTTTCAGGTATGAGTCTTTGAATTTTCCCAAATTGGTTGTATATTTGAGGCAGTTTTGCAAACTTTAAGTCATCTTTAATCATTTTAATCCATTTAATATCAATTTATTTGGTATGGTTTTAAATGAATTTTTAGCCAATTCTTTATCTTGAGGTAGTTAAATGGCGAAAGTTATTTTTAAGAAAGGGAAGTTATTCTCCAGATATCCTCATTGCTACATAATTAAACCCAGGTTGAATAAAGCCATGTGTAGTCCATATTTTGATTGACAACAAGTTTATGTGAACAGAAAGGGATTTAAGTAGATATTCACCAAGGAGTTTGGAATTGTTAGAACTGTTGATATTGTAGGTGTTATGTTCTCATTTTTCTTACATTTTCCAATTTTTCTGTGATGGTGTGCATTGATATTTTAAGAACAAATATAAATTGAAGAAGTGAAAATAATAAGAACAATAAAGTCAATGAATGCAGAACTTATGGGGCTTAGAGATTTTTTTTTTAATTTCTAAGTTGTCAATTGCATGCCTTCCTTGAAAATATGTAGTAAATTTTTAAAAATTAATATGCTGTTTCTTAGCATGCTTTTTTAGCCCAAAGCATTTTGGGCATCTTTACATGCCAGTACAAATAATTCAACCTTATCTCTTTTAATATTCTTTAATATACTATAACATTTTTAAACAATACACTGTGAAATTCTTAGGTGTCTTCCAATTGTTCTCTATCACAAATCTTATAAAACTCAATATTCTTTAATCTATTTTTCCTATACGTGTGTATTCCTAGAATAAATTTCTATATATTAAAATGCTCAAGCATGTTTGTTTAAAGTGTTGATAGATATTCCTATATTGCCTTCACAAATAGTTGCACCAATTTCTATTCCTACTGTATGAGAAATACTTGTTCTAAGGATAATCATTTTCAATCAGTCACTATTTTTACTCAATTGCATCTCAGCTAGCTTGCTTTTGACCAAATTGCTTTCACCTAAATAAAAGACCCTCACTCCTGATACTCAGAAAGTTCAATTTGCTTAAGTTTGTTGCACCTTCAAACAATTCCCACAGGCACATTCTTTACTCTTTAAAAAAGCACTAAAAATTTAGTGGGTGCTCACTACATACTCAGGAATCACACAGACTGCTCTTCTTTTGGAATTTCTTGTCTAATTTTATCTTAAATCATTTTCATCACCAATGCCATTGAAAAAATTACATGTCTTTCTTGGCAGTGTATTTTGCCTGTGTGTATTACAGTATAAACCCCAATAAACTAGAGACTTTGTCTGCTCTGATAATTGATTTATCACCAATGTCTAGAAGAGTATCTAGTCTATAGGAAGTCCCCAATAAATATTTTTTGGATGAAAACTGTAAGTTTAGCTGGTTTAAATTTACATGAAATTGATCTTAATCTTGTCAGCTCATGTAAGATACCATTAAGTTTCTATCCTTCAATCACTCACACCCCGTAACCTGAAAACAGGAAAATAAAAGACCCTCTGCAGATTTAATTATAAGTCCACCCAGTGACTGAGCAGATTTGGAAAGTCACTGGAAAAAAAAAAAGAAATCCCTCCTCAGACAGCAGGACTTGGATGTTACCTGATTGATAGTATTCACATGTCTAATAAAAATGTGTTAATCAAAGAAGAGTTAATACTTTTAAAAGCTTAGAAAAGAATATAATCACCTTGGCAAATGTAGAAAGTGATCCTTTGAGTACTATCTATGGGAGAGGAAATCACACCCATTGGACTTTGAATATTTCCAGTCCTAATGACAAAGTTATCCCTGGAGGATACAGAGGGTTTTAGCCAAAGACCTTTGAGTTTTCTGGTACCTTTGACATGTCCATTCCTAGGACTAGATAGGTGCATCAAGTCGCCCTAGCCTGGTTCCATAACATTCCATTCCACCATATCCTTTCATTCTGATTCCATGCTCACTAGGCAACTTCATTTTGATCTCACTCCCCATGTTGGTCTGCCTATAGGAGGAAAATACACTGCTTCTACAAGCTTTGATTATTTGATATCTGGTGAATGTTTTGGTTCTTGATTTTGGTTTAACATAGGGAGAAAATGAGCCTGTTGTGAATTATTTTAGCTAACATGAGACAATCTCTCAGGACCTGACCATTCCTGGACCCCAGCCAAAACAGGAAATCTCTAGGCCTTCAAAGTGGAGACCAGACCTTAAAAGTGTGAACTTAACTGACTTATGACCCAAAAAGTTTCTGTCTAGTTCTAAGCCATCTTTCTTAGACAAAGTGCAACCACTTTTGGTTTAATTCCTCCTGCTTTCTGAGAAACTCCTATTTAATTTATTAAAATAAGGTTTGCGAAAATTGCTTCACAAGCTGAAGAGCACATTAAATGGATTAAAATATTAGTTACCATTTTTAGAATTATATTTGTACTTTTAATGTGAAAAATAATCACTATTTGAATAAATTTCTTTGTGTCAAAGTTATCTGTCAGTTTTAGATAAAAATATCTTAATTTCATAAGTCTTATGTTTCCTAATAAGGACTGGAACTTCACCAGTTTGAACATAATGACAACTATAATCATGACACAGGTTTTCATAAGCTGGTGAATATTTCTTCATTGTGTTAGAAATATAAACAATATCTTCTCAAATTACTGAATGCCCTAATTATTTCTCTTTGTTTAAGTAACTCATATTTTATGTTAACCATACTGCCTTCTGGTGCTTTATTAAAATAAGTGAAAACTACCTGAGATACAATCTTAAAAAAAAAGCAGAGTCAACTCTTCTGTGTGATTAAATCAGCATTTTTTAAAGATGGATGTTCTTTTCCTTCTATATCCAACCTTCTCCAGAGTCAAACTTGAAGCAATTTCATACACTAATGGTAAAGTAAGTCAGCATGCAAATGCAAACCTATTCTTGAAAAGTTGCATTTTTTAGGTTTCGTGCATTTAAAATTTGGAAGTAGCCAACGCTGAGTCCATTCTGATAGAAGACATACCTGGCTATAAAAAGTTCCTCTTTGTTTTTCAATCTACACTTCAAATTAATGAGAAATAATCTTATTACAAATCTATTCCTTATCTTTTTTGCACAATAACACAGAAATTATAGGTCTTCCAACTGGAGTAAGATACAATTAAACAGATACACATAGAAAGAGCTTAATAAGTGCACAGTGTAAATTTCACTTAGTAGATTAGTTGAATCTATCATCTTAAAAACTGTGATAATCTAATATTCTAATCAAGAGTAAACAGATATTTCTTGAAGAAATAACATTTACCCCAATGGGAAATGGTGCATTATTTTCCAGCAATGAGGTTTTTGATCTGGACCCCGAAGTTATCTTTGGAACAGTGCCTACTGCAGGACTTCTGGGAAGAGGCTGTAACCGAATTGGAGGTTGCATATTTCCTGGAGCAGTGTATGGTCGAGGGGCTGTCTAGACAATTAAGGAAAAAAATTCCATTTAAATTAGTATCTTGACATGTTTCCAGAACCAATTAATAACCCAACAAATTGCCTACAGTAATTAATGGTACCTTTTTACAGAACAGATTAAACTTTAATTATGTCCTTCCATTATACATACCCTTATGACCCAAAGTATTTGTTAAAACATATGGTGTGGAAGTCTTCTACATAACTAAATGCCATAATTATAGAGTATTCTACACAAAGGAGATGTTCTCTGTTAGGTTCCTATACTTTATTCCTACTGTAAACTGGCAGACAATATCTAATTTATGCTGTGTATAGAATGGCTTTCTTCAGTTAAATGTTAAGTTGAATAATGTTCCTATTTTAGAGATCTAAAGGGATAGGACTGGAGTGGACTAATTTCTGTTTAAATGTCTTCAACATGAATTCTGTGAGTCCTTTAAGTCTTAAGATTGGTGCAGAAGTAAAAACAGATAATATGATTCAAAAAAAAGGTGTGGGTAAAATTGCAGTATTTTCAGAATCTCTCGCCTGGCCTTAGTTCATTTCCATATCAATAGGTGTTTCCAAGGGGTGGAGAGAAGTAACCATCTCCATATCAATAGGTAATTACCAGGGGAGCAAGGGCATATCTGGACCAGAGAGGTTGGATGGGGTCCCTTTTTGCAGCTGGGTCTTGAGAGACATGGGCAAGCAGAAGTGGACGACTGCTTGTAGGCAATAAACAGGTTTCTCCCACTTTATTTCTCGCTTTGACTGATTTCCGTTTCAAAGGTATTTTGCCCCGGGCTGGAAACTTGTTTTCCCAGAGTTACAGAAGGAAAGGCAGGTGCTTAACTACAATGAATTACCATTTATGCAACTTTCTTCTCAAAATATTAGTAAAACAAAAATGAGAGACAGTAACTAGCAACTTTGGAAAACACTGTGCAAAAATAGAGATGTCTTCCAGGCTGGATGTTTCCCACTCCCCGCTGGCCAACTCCACCTCTTCTCTAGCTTCTGTGCCCTGTTCTGGCCTCTGGGAGTCATTTCTTTACTGACTACACCAGCTAACCTCAGGATTCCAATTGGATTTGCCCAGTGAAAGGCACTCTCAGGAGAGCAAAAGACAGGAGGGAAGAGATTAGGGTCTTCATTTTGCTGGACCTTTCCCACCAAGGTGTGATGGACCAGCTAGGTCCTTTTACCAAGGTCCACAGCTCCTGTCTGAAGTCCACCCCTAGTTTTCAAGCCCTGCCTGCTGGTTTTAGTATCCAATCTCTCCTTTTCCCCCTCAGGCCTAAGTGGTGTGGTTTCCCATTGTGCTAACTCTAGCATGATCTGCATCCTTAGGTTTTCCTTTACTCTGCCTGCATCTTTGTAAATAGTTTCTTTATTAAACACTTCCTAATTTCCCTGTTTGTGTGAGCCATCTGTTTCCTGCTGAGACCCTGAGTGATGCATTTTCTAATCAAGAATGTACTTCAGAGAATACCAAAAGTGCCAGTATGGAGCATTACAAGTGCCTCTCAGGGCACTGACTGAACATTGTAAGTTTAGTATAAAGATCAGCAATGTTACAGAAGGAGAAAAAAATAAGGCTTTGGGCCCAGTTGTTCTACAACAATAAAATGGTAGAAAATCTGTTAAGAATAATAAGTGTATATTTGGGTAAGAAGGTATGAGAAAGATGGTATATAAATGACTCACAAGTAAAACTTAATGTATTGACTCTAAAGAATGGTGCACAACAAATATTCAGCTCTGGAAAAGTGTTGCGTAAATACAAAAAAATGATGATAAGGCACCTTCTACCACAAAAAAATTGGTCTTATTGTCATCTTGACAAGTATCTCTTATGTTGCTAAATCTCTGGTTTGTTCAGTCAACACTTACTGGATTCCAACTATGGGCACTCTGAGGACATTAAAAAAGTAATTTTTAACCTCTAATGGTGACACAAGACATTTAGTGCCAAATGAACCACACAAATACTACCGAAGAGACAATAATAACAAAATACTTTAGAACTAACAGAACTTAGAACTTAAAGTTATTTGGAATAAGTCAAGGAAACTAGTAAAAATTCAAGCAGAAGCAGTTACATTTTATCCAAACAGATGAGCAAAAGAAGAAAATGGATGAGCAGTGAAAAGGAATGGTAAATTTGAACACCAAGTAAGAAGAGAGCCGACTGTGAGCCAAACATGGGAAGAGTAGCAAAGATATATTTCTCCCCAATATCAGTTTCCTTTCTTCACTAGCAATAGAGAAATTTTATCAGGTAACACAGCTCTCACAAAGGCTGTATTTCCCAGTATCTCTTGCAATTCTGTATAGATGTATGCTTCAGTTTTGACCAGTAAGATGTGAGCAGAAGGTATACAAGACACTTCAGACCATGCCCCTGGAAGAAGTGTGCTATCACTTTCCCTTTACCCCCTTCCCTCCGACTGACATAGCCACATGGTGACCTTGGTTTATGAAGATAACACACTAAGTTTGGCAGATCACTGACACAATAGGAGTCTGAGCTCTTGATGGCTTCATGGAGTAGAGACTGCACACAAGCTAAGACTCACATATATGTGTTAGCAGGAGAGCCTTATGTTTAAGTCATTGTCATCTTAGCTTGCTGCACACAAACCTATAAATGACCAATACAGGAAGCCAAGTGGATTGACTAGAGCAGCATTTGATTTGAAGAAACAGGACAAGACAATGTAAGCCAAAGGTGAAATATCTTCAAACCCACAAATAAAACTCCAACTAGAGGTTTCTGAACAAGGGAGTCAGATCACCCAAAAGAATTGTTTTGAACTCTGTAAAAAAAATATGCCTAAAACACTCTTCTGTCAAATAATCCATCCAAACATAAAAACATTGAAAATCTAATGTAGGAATTCGAGAAAGCAGGTTACTATAAACGAGAGCATGATCTATTGGCTGCTGCTCTCTGACATTTTACTTTCTCACATTTGCATACAGATATCATTCAGTTAGATGAATATGGCAGTCAAATGTTTAACTGATTACATTTATCTCTAAAAAACAAATCTGCACCATTCAACTAACAGCTGTGAGCTACAAACTGTTGTCGTTCATATCAGAAGCCACCTTAAATTTGCTACATTTCAAATTGTTCATAACATATTTCTTGAAATAAATACGGCACTGTAGCTTAACATTTTCAAAACTGTACCAGAATGTGAATTGAAATTGACTACCTGGTGATTACTCAGCTTAGCTGAGCATTTCTAATTCTTAGTAGAAGATCTCTGGGGGTGAATTTTCCAAGCATGTGCAGAATTAGTCGAATGACTTTCCACTGTTTTAATGGGAATAGTGTAGCTAAAAGCCTATGTGCTATTTTGAAAGTCTAGGTGCAATTAGTGACCAAGTGCAATAACTTTTCCTTGGATGCTTTTCTTATTCACGCAAGAAAGTTAAAGGAGAAAAATCGATGGCAATATCCCAAAAGGATTATCTTCATTTCAGTGGCACTTGGAGGTCAAATTTAAGGATACGTATCCAGGCTCAGAAAACAAGAAGGACTTGAATTTCTGTAAAATGGGAACTACAATTCCAAGGTCACAAGGGTCTGCCTCACAGTGCAGAACCAGAGGAGGTGACCAAGAGAAGAACTGTAGTTTACCAGCTAGAAAGTCTTTGGAAGTGCTGGTGTCAGTGTTTCCTGTAATTTTTAAATTACTTTCTCACTCCTGCCACATTAAGATCTCCTGGATGTATCATAAACTACTTATTGAGGGTGTTCAGCTGGAAAATTGAAAAGAAAGCCTTTCAAGGGTTTTTCCCCTATGAAACAGGTGGGAAGATAGAAAACAGCACTTGATTGTTTCTTTTGTTTCACCCAGGTTAAACTTTTGAGAGTCTGGTGAATCTGCCATCCAGTAAAAGAATTATTTGTATTCATATACATTTAAACAAAGCCTGGAAATATGGTAACAACAAAGGGAAGATGGTTGGTTTTCGTAATTTGACGGTTGCTTTCATAACTTGAGCTGTTCACAGGGAAATGTCAAAACATATTTACCTTTTGAAAAATGTCAAAGCTTAACACTATATACAATGAACCCATGTCAACAGTCTGTGAAAGCATTGCAATTTCTCTATAAATATTGTGTAATCCAAAAATGTTCATGCCAACAAGGAGATATATTAGGCCACACCAAAGAAGAATTAAGATGCAATCAAGCAGTTCATTTACAACTTAAACCATCAACCTTCAGCAAATATTTTGCAAATCTTCTCCTGTATCTATATTGTTTAAGCTGCCTTGCCCTCCTTCAAACAAATACCACCTCTAGGTTATAAATGAATCAAACTGAAATGAAATATGGATGTGCAATTTCCTTAAAAAGAATTTCTGTACATTTAATTATTTTATCTTAGATCATGTGCATGCCATTTTGATAAAGAAAGCACACATATAAGTATCTGGACCAATAGGCCATACAGTACCATTGAATTCATATGCATAAATAAGCTTTACAGATAAGGTAAGAGGAGAGGAAACAGCAAGAACAAAATCCAGAGGTCAGAAAATATAGAACATGTGTGGAACAACTAGTGGCTTAGTTTGCTGCACTGCAGGGTGCTAAAGGGTAATTATAGGGGTAAGTATTGGGATAGCTAAATTAAGATCATGTGCTTTAGGGTCTTAAATGTCAAGTGAAAGAGTCTAGGCTTTTTTATAGGTGACACACAGCCAGTGAAGGTATTTGGGCATGTACAGAAGTAACCTGCACTTTAAGAAAGCTAATCTACCAGTAACAAGCCAAGTGCATTTGACAGGGATGACACTGATTAGAGGTGGGACATTCAGTAGATACAGAGTTGAACAGATACAAAACTATGTTGTCATTCAGTAGGCTTCATGGAATTATACAGGCTACCCAGAGAGCATTCTTTTTGAGAGTAATATGAAATAACAAATTAGTCGGGATGGTACATGACAGAGTATTTAATAAGACTCACCAGAGTTACTGGACTGGTATGTCCTCCATCAACCAGAACACCATGGCCACGGTTAGCCTTTGGGCCAAGTGGGGGCCGGGGAGATAGAATTGGGATATTACTTTCTATAGACCATCGTGTGGGTTCTCCCTAGAGGAGGAAAGTGATTTAACAAATTGATGCATAATTAGTAATCTAGTTAGGTTAGTTCCTGTCAGGTAAGAGATACTATATACAAAAGACCTTTCTCATTAGTCTCAAAAGTATCCCTTCTGAGGCCTATCATGATGGTCAGATAAAGTTCCCACAGCTGTACTGGGAAGTTGAGCGTGGTGGTAAAAGGCAGGAAACTGAGTCTGCTTTATTCAAAGAAACAGCTATACTCAAAGAGACAGCCACAGACACAGTGTACTCTCAGTTGTAACAATATTTATCCGATCACTATAAGAAGCACAGTAGTGCTCCTCACTACTCTGATCACTACAGATTACCAAGGATAGTACTTTTCTACCTTAAAAAATAATTAAATATACCCCATGCAAAAGGGTTGCATATTACCTAAAAGGGACCTAAAACACATCTTTCAGCAAGTGCAGCTATGAAATGGAAATTGTTACAACTAAAAATCATACAGGAAGGACTCAGAGCGTCTATTAAGAATTCTGTCAATGTTGTTAACATGTCCATGTACCTACTTAATGTGCAGGCAATCTGGGTGATGGCAAATTGCTTCAGGCAGTGGTTAGTCACTCTATTTCTAGTAACCATTTTTCCCCATCAACGTTTCAGCAATAAATTATAGAATCTATAACTTGATCCTTGATGTAGTACAATACTGGTAAAGTTGAAGTATCTACAAACCTCAATACAACAACTTTTCTGATCTTGAGAAACTGACCTGTTTTCTGTTATATAACAGCACTTCTGTAACAAAATTATCTTTTGACCATGATAAACAGACAGATTTGACTCTATCAGGCAAGAGGGAAAATTTACTGTCTTATATAGCAGGTTATTTCACAGAAGCTTTACAAATATTCATCAGTTTGTGAAATGCATTTAGGGCCCACATTTGTAACACAACACAGAAAATGAAGAACAACATGTGAGTTCGAATGGCTGAAGAAATTGAGTAAAACTGCAAACTAAAATGAAACCTTTCAAATATGCCTAATTGAATATCTCGTCTCTTGATTCAAATTTATACATTCCATAAGTGCATTTCAAAGAAAGGATTATCAAATACAAGAATGGAAAACAAGGGATTTTTAAGTTCCTTGTACAAAATAGCTAAATCTTAGTCTTTCTTTGCTGTGGTAGATCTTTCCTACCATGTATTTTCAAGGGTCGTGTTTCCATAAAAATGTACCACTAGGTAATCATTCGACTGCCTTGTTTCCCATCACACTAGAAACATCACCATCTATTTTTACCTTTTTAAGACAAAAAACAAAAATGTTTTGGTTTCTATCACACATCAATCAAGAAAATACAAAAGCTAAAGTTCCAACTTGGCAAGAATATTTTTAAGTTTTTCTTTGAAAGGTTTCTGCCTTATAAAATGAATTTTGCACAGGCAGCTCCTATTTTGTCATGATCACCTGTGATAATGGTGGCCAACATTTAGGGTTGGTGGAACCATTATTCTGACCTGTACTATTAGTTATCCAAAAGTAAAGTGCCTCAAGGAACTTCAGTGACAGCACCACTGGCTCTCAAAATCATAAAATAATATTGTGAAGTAAAAGAAATTCATGTAGCTCCTTACCTTAAATCTCGGAATTCTCTCCTTTCTAGCTAAGGTCTCCAGCTTCTTTTTTATTTCAAGCTGATGGTAACGCTAAGGACCCACAAAAGAATGGAGAAGAGAATCATATCAATTATAGTGAAGAATTTTTAGAGGAAAATAATCCCACCAGCTAACCATATTCTCAATTACCTCTCTTGTAATTGAGGTGGAGAAGAATTGCCTGCATAAGTGTACAACTAGGAATATAAATTAGTACAACTCCTTGGAAAGTCCATTTCTAACATATATTAGGCAGCTAAAAGTGTTCCTACCCTTCAAGCAAAAAATTTTACTTCAAACATAGAAATCTAAATAATTTTTTAAAATGTGTTATGCACAAAGGTACAGCCTGGAAATTGTTTTTTCTTTTCTTCAAAGCAAAAATTCAGAAGCAACATGAAACTTACGGAGAATGGTTAAGTTTCTGGCACATTCACATAATGAAATAGAATATTATCTTTGAAATAAGGTTCTTAAAGGTTTGGTTTCTTAAAAATGGAAAAATGCATGTAATGCAAAATAAAATGGGATACAGAATTGCTCAGAAACACAATTTAATTGACAAACTCATGAGGTACCAGTTCCTGCACCTTACCTGTGGGAAGCTGGGTCACATGCATCACCCTTCTTTGAACAATTCTAAGCAGTCTCATTTTACAAATGAAGAAACTGAGGCAGAGGGTTATGAGTTAGCCCCAAGTCTCACCCCTACTTAGCAGTGGAACTGTAATTTGAACCTTGGTTTATCTGACACTAACTTGCTGTTTGTTTTTTCTCACAAAACTATGTCCCTCTGGCAACATAGCATTCTTTTACTAATGTATAAGTTTGAATAAAGATGGGAAAGAAATATTAGTGTGTTAACAGCAGTTACCCCTGAAAGGAGGGATTATATGTGGCTTTCTTTTTTATGCTTTGTTACATTTCCCAAATATTTTCTCTAATATAGTAGCTATATAATTTAAAAATAAAGCTTATATAAAAATAATCTTCTTACAATTAAATCTGAAATCAATTGGACACACTTGAGAGCATTTTAAGAAATGTTTTTCCAGTTCTTGATCCCCTCCTGATGCCTTTGGGACCCTGCAGACTCAACCACCCCCTACTTAGGTATCATCAGTTCCTTTCATGACACTTGCCTTTCTTCTCTCTCTCTTTCCTGTTCTCTCACCTACTTACCCCCAAATTTTATTAAATTCACTATCACCCATTTTCCATCTTTCATTTATTTCCAACTCACCACAATCACCCACCCCCACCACCTTCCTCTTCACCATCCTAAAAACTACATTTGGCCACCAGTGCTCCACCTTCTGGCTCTGCAAGAGCCTCCTGGCTTCCAGGACATCACTCCGTCAGGCAGGTTTTTCCACCACTGATGGCTCTCCTCTAGCCCCGTTGTTCTGCCTCCCCTGCAGGCTCACACAACCCACCAAGCCTGAGCTGCTCTGGGCTCCTCCGCACCCCTCCTCACTCCCTCAGTTTATCTCTCTCCCTCTTCGGTATCTCCGTGGACAGCTGCATCTCCCCAGCGTTTCCACCACTGCTGCTCACCCACACCCCTCGGCAACAGCTTCTTAATTGACCTCCCACCTTCAATCTTTTCCAGCTCATTAATCCATCTTCTGCATTTTTAGCAACATCATCTTTCTAAAACAGCTCTGCTCATTTATTTCACCCTCCTGCTGAAAAACATTTTATCGCCTCATCACCTACACTACAAGTCTAGTTGGAAATTCTTCAGTTCCAGAAACAGGACCCCAAATTATTGGACAATGTCACTTCCTGCCACACTTTCAACCAACCCACTGTGCGGTCTGGCCTCAGTGAGCTTTCCTTTCCCACCACAATGTCTTTTCACATCTCTGTAGCCTCACACCTGCCATCCTCACTCTCTAGAATGCCATTCCCCTGTTGCCATGTGAAGTCTCACCCCTTCTTCAAGGCCCAGTTCACATGGCAGGACCTCTGGTTAGCTTCCTCTGACCCACAAAGGGGCAAGTCATCATTCCCTTCTTTTCTGAGTTCAGGCTATTTGTGCCTCTCTTCTAGAATTTGATCCTTTCCTACAGTATTTTTTAAAATTATATCTTGCAGCTACATCACATAGCCTCATACTGGTCCATGGTAAGCCTGTAATTAATGTTTGTTGCATGAATGAATATGTGAATATTAATAGAGCAACATTAACAAATAGCATCAGCATAAACTAAATGTGAGACAAATGTAAATGATTTTGAGAGAAATATTCTGTGTTAATTATATTAATATGTTATAATTACATAATATATAAAATTATTATATATTACATGTTAGCATTTAACTAGGATACTTAATCCAAACTTAAGAATACATGAAGACTCTTAAATTATAGCATATTTAACAGTTATAATATGTCACTTGCATGGTAGTAGAAAACTAAACTTCAAGGATCTAGGCTCGTTATAGAAATTGGTGCCCATTGATTAAGTTTGAAACCAGAAATAGATTAATTTTGCACTGTACTTGTTTTTACATTAGTTATAGATTTCCAACTAATACTTTTATAAACAAGTGAATTTGGGGGCCATAAACAATGATTCTATGTAATCCTTGCATATGATAGAAAGTAACAAAATTCATTCCTAAATCAACAGATCATACCCATCTTAAGTGAACACAACATTTACTCAATATAATAGTAACATAACAATAAATATTTTCAGTGGCACTACACTTTGGATTGGCTTACTGATGATTCTACAGTTGTTCATAAATGTTTATTACACTCACAGGTCAATGGTTTTACGAACCAGGTTTTCTGATTTACTGCTATATGGTCAAGCCAAGAAGTGACATGCTTTTTCACTGAATTCAACGTGGTGTTAATGGTTGAAACTACAAGTTCCAAGGAGCAAGGCTAAAATAACTTATCAAGTTAGCTGGATATCCTACTAAAAATGCCATGTCAGATTTTTAAAAAAAGTTGTTGATGCTTGGGTTATGAATCTATGCTGACCAGTGTGGCCTAAAGTAGGAGGGACAGCAGATGTTTCAATGCCAATTCCTTGAAATTTAGCATACGGCTAAGCTTCAGAGCCGTAAAAGAATAACAAATCTGAAATAATTCATGGCAGTAGAATTACTGATATTTAAACAGATGTCACTTTTTTTTTTTAGCAAATGGAAATTGAGGTACAGATGGTGAGGGCTGGTATGTTTTACAGTAGCCATTACGGATTAAAAATCTACATTTGTTAAATATCAAAAAATATATAATGATGTCCATGTTTTTCCCTAACTGAAATGTACAAAAGCTTAGTTTAGTCTCTTGGCTCCTAACTAGCTAGAGAAACAATTTGTCAGATCACTTTGTTCCATTCCTTTTGAAGGAAATATAAGAATTCCCCTGCTTCTGGCAACCAAAGTATTATTAAATATCATATTAGAAAATATCTATTATAAAGAACATAGTAAATACTTGTACCTCCATGTCGAGCACCTTATGGAATATAGCCTGGGCTAAGCACTCCCGGATATACTTTTGGTGATCCTGGCTCATGATATTTAGCTTGTATTCTTTTTCAGAAAGTATTCTTCCATTTCTTGAGATCTGTCATACATAAATAAAATATACATAGAAATACAAAGCAGAAAATACATCATTACTCAAAAAGGAGAGAGGACAGAGCGACACAGTGTGTTCTGAGCCTAAAGGAGTATAGGACACGGTTGATAAACTTTCACTTTTAATGCATATTTCATAGGCTCTAAAAAGAGAAAGGCAGTCTCATACACCCATCATTGTGAAAACACACGCAGGTGGTGCGCTTGACGTTTAAAACAAGGCTTTCATTAGAGTAACAATTTTCCGTGGATGGAACCCAGGTGTGCTTTTCATTTCTTTTTCTGTGCACATTTGGGAGGAAGGGGTGGGGTGCAGTACTACCTTGAAACAATGAATAGGAGCAGTGATCACAGGACAATGAACTCACAGGAAATACCTTGAAGGGCATAACATGTAAGTATAGAGGCTCTCATTGGTTTGTTTTCAAAATAATTGGTTTCATTACTTTGTTTTCACATTGCTTTTTCTTCCACTCTCCAGCCCAGAGTGTAATTTAATTTGCTATGATTCAGATTTTTCAGATTATGCAGTACTGCAGATATAAAGTATTCCAGATTCATTTCAATTGGCATCATTGCCAGTCCCCGGAGTGGTAGTTTCTATTTTTTATTTACTTATTTTCCTCTCCTTTCAATCCTTCCTATGGGCATACTTGTTGTATTTTCCTGTATCTTCTGTAAACAGAGAGTGTGGTCCTTCCTGGATTGTTCATGTTCCTTTCCACTTAATTAAGCCCTGCTCTTCTTTTCAGGTCTAATCTGATCCCACATATTTCTTAATTTGGTAAGTACAGTTTTTTAACACTGTTGGTGAAACCTTTTGGAAAGTTAAGATGAGCTAGAGTCGTGCTCCAAGTGATTTCGTTGCTGGTAGTCTTTTTTAATGAATACACTTTCTTGGAAATGCATTGTGCATGGGATAGCCTATCATGTGTGTCCACCTGGGAACAGTGTTGGGAACATCCTGCATTGCTGCTCCCTCTTCAGTCAACATGTGTCCTGCTGTCTCTCCCCTGGGAGCTGTCTATTCTCAACTAGACTGGAAGCTCCTACAGAACTCAAGTTTTTTTTAACTGAGCCCTCATCAGAATCACCTAGAAGCCAGGTTGAAAAACAGATTGTTGGGCTTCACCCCACAGCTTCTGGCACAGTAGGTCTGGGGTGCTCCAAAATTGGCACTTTCTAACATCCTTCAGGTGATGCTAAACACTGTTGATTCAGGGACTGTATCTGAAGGACTGCTCTGGAGAAGTCTGTATCTTCCTTGTTTTTGAGCCCATAACCAGTGTTCAGTAAGTGCTTATTATTGATGTTTGTAAGTAAAAGTCCTTCCCATCTATAAATGAAGTTCACAGATTGTTTTCCAAAGACATAATGTTAATAGTAACCACAATAACAACAACCATTTATTACACATCGCAAATTGTCACAACAGTCCTGAGGGCTGGTAAGATTATCTTCATTTTACAATTGAGGAAGTGGGAGCTAAGAAAGCTAAGTAAGTGAGTTGCTCAAGATTCTGTCTTATAAATGGCAGAGCCAGGTTTCAGCAGGGCATGTCTGGTAACAAAGCCCCAGGAGACAAAAGGCAAGTTCTCTGAGATCTATCCAGCCCTAGTGCTAAGCACATAAACAATTAGTAACGCAATGCACATCCTTTCAACACCATGGCAAAGAGAGTCAAGGAAACCTATTGTATTTTAAGAAGGTAAGCAGCTAAAATCATTAGTCACACTTTCTATAACCACACCCATTTCTTTCAGTGGAAAACTATATATAGTATTTTTTTAAGGTTTTCCATTAAATACATTTAGAGGAATGCAAGTTTTGTGGAAATGATACTTTGGGAGCTAACAAAAGGCACTAGTGTATCAGTAAACTATCTTGGAAAATGAAACATTTTTACAATTTCAAGGGGAAATTGTCTTCCACACTGTATTCTGTGATTATTAAAAATAGTATTTTTTTCCTGAAGACCCTGACAGTTCCTGGCTCATACAATGTGTTCAATAAATATGTGTTAAATAAATGAATAAACTAACCAGTAAAATAGGCTGTTGGAAACTCATAGGGTGCTTCCTCAATAATTTTTAGGTTGCCTTCGCAGGCACTATGACCTCTCATCTTTTGAAACACAGCTTCAAAAAAACAAATCAGAGATCTGAAAAGGAAGTAATTTTTCTAAAATGAGAGGAGAGGGAAGATGTTGTTGATCTCAAAGAGAATACCAGAAAAGGGAGGAAATGATTGGACATAATGAAACAAGAGGTCAGGTAAAAAAGTCAATCAATTCTTACCAGCCCTGATCTTAAGAGATGACGCCTCATCCTTGCATTGTTGAAATATCCAGCCAGGTGTTTATCAGTAAGACTGTTATATGCTGCAAGCAACCTGAAACAGAAAAATGAAACCATGAAGATTTATGAAGTGTTGCTTGATAACCAAAGCAGTTTGGCTTTCTCATCCCCACACTGTGCATAAACATTCACTCAGCCAGCCAGCCAGTCATTCGTCGATGTGTAAGGAGCCGGTACTGAGCACCTACTGTATTTTATTTTTCTGATAAGAACTGGGAGAGGGTCCTGACATGGTTTATAATGTAGACATCAACATCAGACATGAACAATTCAAATGGTTGTGAAAAATCCAACAGTAGAAATAAGCAAAAACTCATGGGGATACAGAGAAGAACTTCAGTTGTCAGGAAAGCCTTCACAGAGAAAGCTTGATGGAAAAGTTGGGGCTCCTTCAAGGACCCTCCAGCCCTGTTTCAACCTAAATTCTAGTAACTCAAACTTGCCAGCACTTCCTCAGCTTAGTCTTTCAGGTGTTCAGGACACAACACACATAGCATCACTATGGAGGCCTTTCCCACACCTGTTAGCTAATGGAAAACACCCTTGGTGCACAGTCTGTCTATCCCTGGAAACATAGCCTGTTACAAATGGGGGTTGCTGTCACATTCCACTCCACCCCCTAACACTCTGAGTTACCCGTTACACATCACACCGTGTTATTATGTATTTCTTAGTCTCCTTTGCTAGATTTGAAGGCCAGGGTGTGGTGCAGTATTCTTGGATATCTCTATGGATGTTATTTATCATGTAACTAAATAATGATTGTTCATTAATCTTTGAAAAATGACTGTTCTGTCAATGACATGGGACTTTTTGTGTGGGACTCATTCTTACTCATATAAACTTCTAAGTTTTAAGCTCAGCAATTTAAAAATCTTAACTTTCTCATATGCATCCAGACAATTTCATTAATTCCACACGTAGAACAATTTTTAAGAAATTCACAGATTACTTTTGATTTTTAGGACCTTTCATTTTAAGAGTTACAAGAGGGCAAATTGGTTCCTTGATTACATGCTATATCTCAGTAGATGGTCAGCCTAGTTCTATAAGTCAAAGTTTGAAACTATTTTTTCTAAGCTTTAACCTATCCTTTAACCTATCCTTTATTGATTATTATTACTTTACAGAAGCATATAATACACATACACATGTATACATATATGCCCCTTTGTGCATACATACATACATACATATACATAAATGTAAGTGTATATATAAAGAGAGACACACAGATGCAGAGAAAGAGAACACACATCCTGAACACAGCCCTAACATAAAGCTGTCTTTAAAAAAATGGATACCCTATTACCGGCAACAAAGATTTGCAATCTGTACATTTTATGAGCAGCTGATCCTTAACTTACTCAGAGACCAGAGCAGGGACTCATAGAATCAAGTAAATGTCATTAGAGACAACTTTATTTAGCTGTTTGCACTTCCTTAATTACATGGAGATGGTGTTGGTGACCTTTTCCTGTCTCTTTTCTCCTTAACACCCATCTTAGGAAAGTTCCATGCTGTCAAATGGTAAGGAAAGTTTAATTTTGTCCATAAAAGAGACTGAAAGCAGTTACAAAACCCAGAAACCTAGGTGCTACAAGAGACGGGCAGACATATGAACAACTTCGGAAACCATTATTCCACTGGGTTTATGTAAAAAGACAACCTGAGGGCTTCAGTAATGCACATACAAAACCAGCCCCAGATAATGCTTTGAAATCATCTTTTAAATGAAATGTCTTGGTGTCCTACAGTTCATCAAAGTTTTCCTGTCTCCAAAAGGTCAACATTGTATCCCTTACCCTTTCTAAATCTCAGCATATCTTTTCAGCAACTCATTTCAGAAAGGTGAGCAGGTGTCTCTCGTCATAACAATCATGATTCCACAGTTCACAGATTCTTAAGATAAATCATTAGACTGATTTCATATGTAGTCTTTTGTCTGTTTTCCAGGCTCAATCTTTTTAAAAAAATCAATAGTTTTAGAATAGCTGTGAGTGGTAAAACTCCGATTAAATGAAGTAGGGTCAAAAAGTTAGGATAACACAGATTTCAATTTCCCTGTTGACTGATAAAAGATACCCTTCTTTTAACTCTGGATTTGTCACTTTTTAAATATTTAGGTCCTAATAATGATGCTTAGCCAGCTTTGGCACCACCTCATTTTAATCCTGCTCTCTCAGGCTCCTACTGAATGAATATGTGGGTATGATGCCCCTCTAGTCTTACTGAAAGGTCTAATTAGATCCAGTTGAGTTGAAACCTTTGAACACATCAGTTTTCTTACCTTTTCCTGTTCTGGAAAGATTGAGAGAATGATAATTAGGTGGGTCCACCCAGGCTCAATCATTTCTTTTTCAGACAATGCCTGAATTTTTTTCTAACTGAAACTTTAGGTTAATGAATTGTTTGATAATAAGAGATTGAACTTCTACACAGCTTTACTGAAATAGTTCTTATGGACTGAATGTTTGTCCCCATCCCCACCCAAATTCATATGTTGAAATCCTACCCCACAGTGTGATGGTTTTAGAGGTAGGGCCTTCAGGAGGTGATTAGATCATGAGGTTGGAGCCCTCAGGAAAGGGAGTATAAGAGACCCCAGAGAACTCTCTCATCCTTTCTGCCATGTGAAGACACTGCTAATGAATCGGGAAGGGCCTCTCATGAAGCACTTGAATCTGCTAGCATCCTGATCTTGGACTTCCCAGTTTCTGAAACTGTGAGAAATAAATTTCTGTTGTTTAAGACACTCAGTCTTTGGTATTCTGTTATAGTAGCCCAAATAGACTAATACAGCAGTCATTGCAAACATTTCTAATATATAATACTTTATTAGTGTGGGTTTATAGCCTCCTTCTGCATTTACTCGGTTACAATTTACAATTAACAATTTACTTTGCATTTATTCAACTTCAATTGCTCGATTACTCTACTGACATAGCCACAGACCTAGATTAGTAGAGCTTTTCTGATGTTTCTGCCTTTGTCCTCTCCATTCACTGCCACTGTTTCCACCCCCGACTCGTGCACTTTTCCTTCCTGCACTAGCCTACCCTGGGCCAGAGGAGATCACCTCTCCTAGGGTTGGTGATCGTGTTGCACGCAGAGCACCCACACTCCCTGTGAGTCACTCTCTGCCCTGCCATCAAAGCAGGACTCGCTGGTCCCACTACCTCAGTCCTGCAGTCTTCCCTGCTCCCGCCCACGGGATCAATGACAGGGCTGGTCACAGCAACGACTAGTCCCCGCTCTGACTCAAAGGCCATGCTGGTTACACAGAGTCCCACAGCTAACTGCCCAGACCGGCCTGACTTTTGGTTTCTTCATTGGAGGGACAAGACTGCTTATCCTCCCACACAGTCACTGGGTGGAGAATGACCACCACCACCCCCACCCCCGGTTCTGGTTCAGTGCACCAGGGAAAACAGTCCCCCGGGAAACAAAGCAACCCTGTCTCCATGGAGGGTCTTGTTTCCCCCACTTCAGTAACACCCCACGTGCTTGCGGTGCCTGAGGATTAGGACAGAGGCTGCTGAGTCACTGGGAGCACGCCTTCCCAGCGGCAGCCTTCCAAACCTTAACGCAAGGACCCCTGCCTCCCACCGCGTGGAATGCACAAATGGGCTCTGAAGTAGTAAGTCAGTGATCAGATGGAGATCTGCCCCCAAAGAGAGAGTCTACCCCATGAAAACCCCGAGTGAGAGAAGCTCTATGCTATTAATCAAAACATGTATTGAGTCTATTTGCAGGGCATTCTGCAGGGCACCGAGATGCAGAGACACACAGCCCCCGCACTCAGAGATCCCAGTCTAGCGCACAGAGGGCGCACACGTGTGCGTGTGTGCGTTGTGTGTGTGTGTATTTCATTTCTTCCTAATTTAGTCACAAATAGTTACCAAGTGTCTCCGTGTCACACGCTGTGACTAAATTGGGAAAGAGTGGGACTTCCTAGCTTCCTCTGCAGATTAACAGGCCCTCCCAGGTGGATGGTCTCATCTGATTTCTTTAGGCCCCTGGAATGTGAGCTAACGATTTCAGTTCTTCCAGCATCCTAAAATGGAAAAGTTCCAAAACAAGATCACTGTTCACTGTGAGTCAGTCCTGGGGAAACCTGAGCGAGGCAGTGCCCCTCTACTGCTGGAGGGCTCCCCTGGGCAGCGGCCCTCTGGACGCACAGCCTCCTCTCGCCGCAGTACCTGTCCCCGCGCCTCCACCCTGGTGGTGGGAAATGGGCAGAGTGGTTACTACTCCAGCTTCAGTTCAGTCCTGGCTCTGCCATTACTGGCTCCATAGCTGGGAGGATGTGACTTACCCTCCCTGTGCCCTGGTTGTCCTGCCTTTCACAAAACACTAGGAAGAACATGAACACAACTTACCCAGCTTCTTTACCACTTTATAACCAGGATCACTTTTCCTCCAGTTTCCAATAACATGCTTCTTATTCCATCTGTGACCTCATCAGAATGTCCTTTACCACCCACATTCCTACCAACATTCTGGACACGATTACTCACATATTCTCTAAGAAAAAGAAAACTCCAGCTTTCTTTTCTTTCTAAGCCATCACCAGAATCACTTTTAAAAGTCCTTTCACAAGAAAAGATTTGTAAACCATATATCTGATAAGGGGTTAATATCCAAAATACATAAAGATGTCATGCAAGTCAATAGCAAGCATAAGACCAAACAATTCAATTTGAAAGTGGTCAGAGGGCTTGAATAGCCATTTTCCAAAGAAGACATACAGATGGCCAACAGGCACATGCAAACATGTTCAGCATCACTAATCATCAGGGAAACGCAAATCAAAACCACAGTGAGACATCACCTGTTAGGATGGCTGTTATCCAAAAGACAATAGATAACAAGTGTTGGTGAGGATATGGAGAAAAGGGAACTCTTGGGCACTGTTGGTGGGACTGTAAATTGATACAGCCACTATGGAAAAGTGTTTGGAGGTTTCTTAAGAAATTAAAAATAGAACTCCCATATGATCCAAAAGAAATTAAATCATGATCTTGAACCAGT